AGGGAGAAGACTGAAAAAGTATTTATTTATTTTGAGGTACCAGGGATCAAAAGACTGAAAAAGTATTGCAGCTATCCCCCAAAGGCTGATTAGGGCCTGGATTTAAGTGTAGTATAGACAGTGGAGAGGAGAGGGGACGTCTAGCTATATCAGAAGTGTGAATCTGTAGGACAGCTGCAGCTTAAGAGTGAGGAAAGTAGAAAGCAGGAATCCAGGAGGACAGGGGGAGTGGGTGGCATCCCTGGCCGAAAGCAAATTCTGCACTAAGGACTGATTTGGTGGTGGCAGTGCCCGGGGGCTGCTGCTGTGGAGATATACAGTGAATGCTCAGACATTTGGTTCAATTTAGGAGAGAGGATGCACCCGCAGGTGCATATTTTCAAGCCATTTATCAAGAGGTGGTCCCTGGCAAGCGCAAGGGCCTGAGTTCAATCCCTGGTTCCACCAAAAAAAAAAAAAAAAAAAAAAAAAAAGAGGTGGTAATTGACTACCAACAGTCTGCTTTGGAGGACTTACAGATTGGTCTGCCTTAGACGATACATCCCTAAAATTGACCCAAGAACCTGCCCTTCCCTCTACCAATTTCAACCACTTTGTGTTTATGCATTTTTTTTTCTCAAATCTATACTAAATTTCTCTTAAGTGGAATTCTTACTGTTACTACTTTGTATTTGCTCAGTGTACCTAAATTCGGTGTATGCAATATGGAATTAATGATCTTTCCCCTCAATGGTGTTACCAGTCAGCCACAAACTTCTGAGCCTAGAAATCTTGAGAGTCGTCTCCAACTTCTCCCCCTCTCTCACCTCCCACATCCAATCTGTTACCAATTTTTTGTTTCCTTTTGTACCTCCACTGAGCTTTTAGAATCCATGTTTTTCTTTCTGTAGAGTTTTTTTTTTTTTTTAAATTTCATGATTAGCAATAATCTGATTATAGTTTCCAAGTCTCAAGGCTTTTTCTGGGCTAAGTCATGATATACACAACTGCTAGGTTCATCCTTCTAAAATAAGGACTTCTTTCTGTCTCTCCTGTGATGGTGGATCTTGATTGTTGACTTCGTTAGATTAGGAAACACCAGCAAGAGCTGATTGGGTTGGGAGGGCGTGGGGCATGTTGACTGGTGGTGAATCCTCAGCTGATGGGCCCTTCAGAGGTGACATCCACTTGGAGGACAGAGGTCACAGAGCATGGCTATGATGGGTGTGTCTTGTTCCTGCTCCCTCCCTTTCCTCTCTGATTTTTCCTCTTTCTCTGCTTCCTGGCTGCCCCTAGATAAGAAGCTTTCCTGCACCCTACCTTCTCACCACATTTCTGTCCTATCACAGGTTTGAAAACAACAGAACCAGCTGGGATGAACCTTCCCTCTTTGATGTCACCTATTTTAGTCCTAGTGATGAAAACTGAGTAATAAAATTCTCTACTACAAACATGTAGCTTGCTCCCTTTAGGAATAGCATACTGTCCAACCTCTTTACCACGGTATGCATGACCTTGCAAAAATCTGACTCTAATTAATTTGTAAAGTGAGGTGGTTTTTACTGTCTTCTTCCCACTATATGCGTTATTAATCTCATTTGTGTGAATCACTGCAAAAAAAGTCTCATTTTCTAACTTTCCTGTCTGTGTTAAAATTTTCTCAATCAGAAATGCCCTCCAAATCACCTTTTAAAATCTTTATTAAAACTTGTTCAGTATTATTCCAATTTAGAGGCTTTATTCAATTCCCATGGTTGGGATTAATCTCTCCCCTCTTGGCATTTGAATAATATTCATTTCTCATATTTGACATTTATTTCCTATTGAGTGTGAGTACAGAGGGATGCAGAAGGAATGGAGCTTTTTAGCTGAAGCCCCTATAAAGCGTCTCACTGAGAAGGCAGGATTTGAACTGTGTGCTATGAATGGCAGATGTTTGGCTATTCTGGAGGGAAAGCAATCAGGTATAATTGAAAACAACATGTACCTTTAAATGAACAAAATTTATAAGCGTAAAATATGCACTGCAATCAAGACCTCTCAAAACACTGCCCCTTACTCTGGGTGCACTCGGTACTCCTTGCCACTTTCTGAAGCAGTTCGGGAAGTCACATTCTGTGTCCTTCGCTGTGCTGCTGTGACCCGCTCGCTCTGTGTCCTGAGGAGATTCCAGATGCTTTCTTTTCAGGATCATTTTGGCTCTGGGCAGAGTCGGAAGTCCCATGTTACCAGATTTGGTAAGTAAGATGGACGCGGTCTCCCTGCAATGTTTTTATGACATCTTTCTGTGGGACAGCACTTAGCAGCAGCATTTACTGCCTTTTTTTGTTGTTGTTGTTTGTTTGTTTGTTTGTTTCTGGTCTCATTTTTGTAAAGATACTCATGAAAGGACTTCTGGAACTACTTAGGAAAGTGGCAAGAAAGAGAGTGTAAGTTTTTTAAAAAATCATTTGTTTGTTTGTTTGGTACAGGGTCCTGCTGTGCAGTTCAAGCTCGTAGTGATCTTCTTGTGTCAGCTTCCATGCCCAGATTTGGTGGCCGGCACAGCATGTGGTACCAGGGATTGAACTCAGGTCCTTGCATTTGCCAGGCAGATGCTCAGACCACTGAGGTATCTCCTCAGTCCCAGAGTAAGTGTTTTTTAAGTGAGAGGGCATATTTTAGGGGGATTAATAGCAACATGTTTTGTTTTTTTTTAATCACAATATATTTTATTTATTTATTTTTTTGCGGTACCGGAGATTGAACACAGGACCCGGTGTTTGCCAGGCAAGCACTTATTCTACTGAGCTATCTCCCCAGCCCCACAATACATATTAAAATTTTAACTTTCTTTGTATATTTTTATAACTTCTTGTATATTCCAGGTAGAACAAGAACTGAGGCAGAACATAATATATTATTCGTGGCAATAAGTATACTAAATTGGCTGGAAGAGAACATTATGTTAGTGGAAGTTTGGGAAATAAAATTGGAAATGTACTCTACAAGCTTACAGAGAAGGCAGTCTCAGTATTTTTTTTTTTTTTTTCTTTCAGAATTTGATGAAAACGATGAACTTCCTCTCCAGAAAACATCCACATAGGCTTATGGTCTGAGATTTGCTTAAATCATTTCAAAGATCTCGCTGATTCATCTACTGTAACCGCAGATTCAAGTCAAGGAATTTTGTTTTAGGAAATACGAAGCCATCACCAGCTTTGAGCAAGGACTCCGAGAGATGAAGAGCAGTTTTGGGACTGACTGCCAGAGACGTGACCAGGGCAGGGCAGAGCGATGTGCGGGGCAGGCAGGGGAGGGAGGCCGTGTGCGTGCAATTAGCCAACTACTTCTCAACTACACGGGTGAGGTCATAGGGCCTGAACTGGGGTGACTGGACAGGAAGCAGTGATCACAGGAGAGGCTTTGAAGGGAAAATCATTCTGGGGGCTGATTAGATTCTGAGCTGCAGCTGAAAGAAGGGCCAAAGATAACTGTAAGCATGGGATGCTGAGCAACTGGAAAAAGAAGGCCTCATTCTTAGAAATAGCAACCAGAAGGGGACCTGGGTTTTCAGGGGAAGTGGCTAGTTCAGTTTAGATATCCTGAATGCCTCATGCTTTGGGGTGGTGACACTGTCAGCCCGAAAATACAGCCAGGTTGTTTTTCCTCAAGCTGAATTTAGAGTAAGGCCTAATGCTAAGAATAGCATAATGCCACTTGGAATAAGTACACACACAATAACTTCTAACTAACCCATAATGTTACAAAAAAGAAGGCTAAAATTATGATTTAAAAGAATATATTTTATGTATTAAAGGTAGTAATCCTCTCTTAAGGGTTTTCTGGGATTAAACAAAACAGTATAATTTATTTTGGGGAAGTAGGGAGGGTCTGTGGTTGGTAAGTCACTTGAAATACTTTAGTTTGGTGATATTGAAAGGAAAATAAAAGAACAATGTATTAGTTATGGGAGCTTATGAGAAGTGAGCTTTAACTGGACATTGGCTGATACTGTTTTTCTGGCTTTATAGCTGGTGGCATGGTAGCAGCACCTTGTTTTCTATTTATAATCAGTGTTACCAAGACAACCCTAAAAAGTGTCTAGTGCCACTGATAATTTAAGAAACCAAGGAATATGAGATTGAGAGAGGACAGGAATCAATACAGGTCTCAAGTTAGAGGACTACATTCATTTAAAACTTGTGTTTTGTCCACTGCATAATTGTTCACTAACGGTGTTCTAAAAAAGGTTAATTCATTTCTGTAGGGCACCATCTTGATGAAGACTCAAATGTTAAGAAGTTAGCTAATTTCAAGAAATATTTATTGCCAACTACAGTGCATCCAGGAAGCAAAATCCTCCTCACACCTGCTCTGGGACTTTACAGCTCTTGCACAGTCACCTTGGCAGGGAGGTCCGCTTGTGCTTACCTGCAGTGCACAACCACGGGTCCTCGGCGCTCGGAGGCGAGCCTGTCTTCCTCCACGTCCAACATGAGCTGCAGAAGGGGCTGCGCACTGTCTGGAGTCTTGTGGTCCGGCCATGAGGTATACCAGTAATGCTTCACATGCTGGGTGTGACTTCCTTGCTTAAATAGAAACCGCCGCCAAGCGCCTTATTCATTTTTGGAACGCAGACTCACCCAAAACACAATACTGAATGCCTTCCAGGGCTCCCATCTTCCTGGCAACTTTTTTCTAGATGGAAAAATCTAGAAGACTTCTAAAGAATACTCTTTCACTGGGAGAAAACCTTACTGTGAGTACGCAGACCTCCAAGTTTGGAAGTCTTGCATCTAGGAAGTGGAGATCTATGAACTCAGACATAGATCATGCATGATATACATACCATAGGCCAAATTAGACATATGTTTAAAATTTGTCGCAATAATAAAATGGTTGGTAAAAATATAGCTAGAAAACAGGAGATACTGCATTCTGTTTTATACTCTATGAACTTTCTTCACCGTTTCTTATAAACATGTGAACCGACATGTTTCATAAACATATTAGCCCCAGTAATATTAATACTTCTACGTGTACCCCAAATTCCAGTACTTAATTCAGAAAGTAATCCAAGCAGTTAAGGAGCTGCCTGGGATCCTTAGGTTGGGAGCACTTCGTGTGACAGTCCAGGCTCACCAGATCTTAAGACCCAGTGCTGTGGTGGAGAGGGTGAGCCCAGTAGGCCCAGGCCTGTGTCACAAAGAGGTGATGGAAAGCGCCGGCCTAGGCCGACTTTCAAGTAAAACCCTTCAGTGCAGCTGGGCCCCCACTTTCTTCTTTGAGATGAGTCTGTCTTGGCACCGAGGCTACAGCTAGGATTGACATTTTCAGGGTGATGATTCTTGATGAGCAAAAATAAAACTAGAGGAACATTCCTCAGCATCTGTTGAGGAATGAATTAAATGAGATAATTTCTCTATGACATAAGCTGGCCTGAGGAAAATCCCTATAAATGACTGCGCCTCCAAGTTTTTGAAGCACTCATCAACACTTCGGGATTGTCTTGCCGCCCACTGCCACCCACCAGCGCAGATTTTCCCTTTCGTAGCTTCCAGGCCTTCCTTAAATCTGCTTAGATCAAAATGACATTTAAAAGAGTCCCAGTACAGTCTCCAGCATGAGCCTTTAGTTAAAGGAGTTTGAAAGGTTAAATCTGAGATATTTTATTAATGCAAATTAGAAGAACTCAATGTCCCACAGAATGAACTTCAGTCATGTCTACTTACATTAATTTAATTATTCCACATATTACTAGTAGTAAAAATGAAGAAATGCGCGGGGGAATGATTGTACTTTCTCATGAATTAATTAAAGTTGAATCTGTTATTTTTAGTAGAATAAATAATTTTAGAGTGGAAATGTGATCTTCCAACCTCGTCTGCTTTGTGGATAACTCTAGTGACGTAATCTTACCTTTAAGACAAGGTTCCGAACAGTGTAGTTATCACACTCATTTACACCAATGACAAGGACTTCAACTTTCCCATATATGCCCCTCTTTTCTGGCCAGTACAGCACGCATTTCTAAAGGAGGAAACAAAACAAAACAAAACAAAACAACGTAGCAAATACTAGTAACTTTCGTTAGCCTTGAAGCACTTATCATTGAAGTGTTTGGAAAGATTTTTTGTTTCATTACTTAAAAATCAATTTCAATGTTTATAACTTCCATACATGTACTACATCTATTGAACTGTACATTTGAATGGTGGATTACATGGTATTTAAATTATGCCTCAATAATGTATTTGAAAAAGTATTGATTTTTCCATGTGCCTGTCCAACTCCATCACTACCAATTGTACACTATTATTAATAATAAATAGGCAAAATTTCCCAAAACTCTGCCAAGAAATTAAGAACTACTTACAAGGAAATTAAGAAATTAATCTAAATATTAGAGTTTATCATGTGATGAAGAGAAATGAAAGGCTGTCTACTGACAGCAACTGAGGCAAGCTACCTAGATCAAACTGCTTCATCAAACCAACATGCCTAGAGAAGTATCTGTGGTGCATGAGGTGCCTAGAACAAAGTTTCTCTTGCAGGTAAGGCAGATATAATGATTAATGCATCTATAGTATTCTGTTTTCTATGGCCAATACTTTTTCCAGTTCTGGGACCCACTGAAATAAACATACAACAAAATCATATTTCACAAATATTTTTATAATATGCTCACCTCAAGGGCTGTCACATAAATGCTAATAATCGTACTGTAAGCAATACAACAGAGCACGGCAGTTAAAGAGACGACTTTGGGCTCAGAAAACACGGGTCCAAGTTTTGGTTCAACCATGACTAGCTGTGAATCCATGAACAAGACATCTAACATCCCTGGCTTCATTTTGCTCATGACTGAATACATGGAAAGTATTTAGGACATGCCATGTATATAGTCAACACTTAAAACATATTATGATTTTTATTGCTATATTTTAAAACTATTGGGTAATAGATTGCTAATCCAAAGTGGTTGAATCTTTATGCACTAAATATAATTTTATTATTAGATTCAGACACCATTATTAAAATACAACTATGACATGAGATTCAAGTGTATAGACCTGTTATTACATTGTTTTGGATAATTACAGAATAATAATAATTATTATTTCATCACATATTTTAATGATTAAGAATGTATAGGATGAAAGCTGATGTTTTAATTTGAGTGCCCAGGGAAGTAATGGTAATTTTAGAAATGTTTAAATATCACTTGTCCTTTTCTCCTAAACACACACACACACACACACACACACACACACACTTATAAAGATTTTTTTTTTTTACTTGTAGCCTTCTAGCAGAGGTCTTTGGGATGTTGGACACTTGGTTTTTCACATCTATATCAAAGACATGTGACCACCCTTAAAACTATAGATAACCTATTTATAGGTTCAAAAACATAACAAAATAATCACAAACTTACAGAACTAAAGAAAGAGGCAGCAGGAAATGTATCAATGGGGATTTATAGTTAATTCCAAGCACTGTATATTTGAAGCCATTCAGAATGTCATCTCACCTAGTAGAATCAATTTCTTTGATCCATTATGATAAAAACACACATCTCCCATTTTTTGATCTTTCTCATAATGAAGTGAACTGCTTCAGTTTTACTTATATCCCACCTAAAGGCTCTAGGCAACCATACAAATGCTCTGTCTGCCTGATTTACTGCTAACCTTAAGGAAAGAAGCATTTTAAAAATCGAGCGTTGTATTTCCCGTTACTGCTACCAACTGCTAAATAGCTAAAATTGCCCTGTTATGGGTAATCATACTAACCAATTTGTCTGGTTTCTTTCAGTGAAGCATCACTTATTTTGCTGCAAGACCCAAGCTATTGTGTATCTTAAAACCCATATTTCCCAGATAAGTCCAAGAAGAGTGATAAAAAAACTTGAAAAAATAATTGACCAAAGACAGCCTGACATATGTGCCTTTGTTCCCCAGCAGACCTGAACAACAGTGCCTCTTCAGAAAGGAGCCTCCAGGGGCAGGCACCCACCTGACAAGCACAAGATTTGATGCCAGGTACAAAACAAAAAATGAAGCACAAAAACAAAAACAAAACAAACAAACAAACAAACAAAAAACCAGAAAGGAGCCTCAAAAAAATCATCTGTCAGGCCAGAGCTCACAGCCCTGTACTCCGAATTTTAACAATACTCTGAGAAGCTTCTGTACTTAGTTGATAAATAGAATCCCTACTCGGATCCCTCCCAGATTTGCTGGGCCTTCTGGAATGTTTTCCTGGAATTTTTATCAAAAAAGCAGCCAGCAGCCAACTCCCTGTAGACAATACAACGTGACGTGTTCATTGAAACAACCCTCAATTAGCATCCCGTGTCTCTTCTGAGATACAATAGCTTATTTTTACACATTGAATATATTTTCCCACTTTTAAGAGAAAGGAAAAAGAAAGAGAGACCAGACAAGTGTGGGTGCTTTGGAATATGACGTGGGGGAGGGCTGCAAATCTAGTTGCTTCCAATAGCTCGAGTTTATGTTCAGATTATTTTCCTGCACAGCTCTTTAGGGTTCTCTATTGTGCCACCAACAGTGATGTGAAAGAGGCAGAAAATGCAAGCAAAGAAAGTGCTGGATTACAGAGAACATCGTGAAGCTACACTAATGGTGGGCAGTTCAAAATAACATGGCATCTAGCCAAGCATAACCTAAATCATCACCATTCTTCAAACTAGGATGATCCTTTCAGTACAGTTGTCTATTAATCCCAACTTTTCAGAATTTGGAGGAAAAAGAGGTTTTCCAAGGACCGTGTCTCTGATGAAAACAAGGAATTAGTAAGTCACAGTGGAAAAGATTGTAGACATACACTGATTCCACCTACTCAGTTACTTATAACAAAAGGGGAATGCAAGATGAAATAATGCAAAGGCATATTTTTATAATCTTTGTCTTCTTTTGAGTATTTGTTGTCACCCCTACGATGTCAAAGCTATTTGAGATTAAGCAGTAAAGACATCTTGCTACTATCTTAGTTACCTAGAAACTAATCATTTAAAAGTTGTTTTAGGGCTGGTGAGATATCTCAGCAGGCTAAGCACCTGCTTTGGCAAGCGCAGGGACCAGGGTTTGACCCCTGGTCCTGCATGGCATGCCGACCCTGTCCCCGGGTCCCACTGAGCCAGTGACCCTCAGGTGTGGTGGTGCACGCCTGTAATCCCGGTGCTGGGGAGGCTGAAAACAGGAGGATCACTAGGAGTCTGAGCTGTATAGTGAGACCCTGGACCAAATACATTTTTTACAAAAAGTTATTTTACTTTCATATCGTGTAAGGTAAAATCAAAGAGATGTTTACTTTATAACCTCAAGACACGTATCATAAGCTAGAAAGTGATTCTAAATAAAGAAAAAAGAAATTCCAGTTATATTGATTCCTAACTCTTCAGGTAATATTACTAACATAAATATAGTGACTTAATTTTTTATGGTCACTTAATATTATAAACATCAGCTTTTTATCACCAAATAACTTCTGCAATCTTTTTTTAAAAATGTATTTAGTACAGCATCTACAGGGTTTCACTACATAGATCAGACTCGTAGAAATTCTCCTGAGATTACAGGTGCACACCACCAAGCCCAGTGTCATTTCTGCAATCTTTTGAGGTAGCAGCTATTATTTATTTATTACAAGGTCTTTTCATTCAGACTGGGCTTGGAATCACAGGGATCCTCCTGCCTCAGCCTCTTGAGTGCTGGGATTACAGGCATGCAATACCACACCCAGCATTACTTTTTAAGTCATTTTAAATTGAGGAAACTGAAGCTCAGGTGCTTTGGCAGGGGACTCTGGGAAAATTCTCTTGGGCACCAAGATTATCCAAGAAGCCACCACTTTATGAATTTTTCTTTCCACCTTTATTCTCATGCCGACTCATAATCTAACTTACTGACAACCTTGCTCAGTGCCCTATTTCCTTCTGGAACTTGTGTAACCTCATTGATTACTGGATGCTCCTCCCCACTGTGGCTCTTACAAAGCCAGTGTTGGTTACCATGTGTTGAACTGTGTTGGGTGCTTTGGTATATTAAGCACCTTGAACTCAGGTGGCTGGAAGGCCACAGAAGCTCTCTCAGGACAAAGTGTTTCTCTGACCTCTTGCCCTCCTTTATCCTGTTCCCTATTCTTCTCAAGGTAAGGGACATACAACAGAATCTCTTGTCTCTAAGTCAGGTCATAGAAACTAGAACCCTTCCCCTCTAAACCAAGCCACAGAACATGGAAATGCTATTGCTACCTTCCCTGCTGTTCAGTGTAGCAGTTGGCTGTAAAAAAAAATTCTCTCACCTCTCTTGTTTGAGAGTAGATCTGAAGGCACTTCCCCATGAGGGTTTGACCCACACCTGAGATGAAGGTATGGTACACAGGACAAGAGCTACCTGCTTTCACTCTGTGATCATTTAGTCAGACCCTTTGGTCTAACTGCATTTCCATATGACTCCCCATTCTTCACTAAATGCAAACATACACATGGGCAGTTTTCCCTGGTCTTTGGGCCTTCATTTCTGAAAGCTCCAAGTTATATAAAGTTTTGATTAAGTGAATATGTTCTATTCACCTAAAAAAGTGATTCTTTTAAAAAAAATACAACTGTCTTTGTTTCTGATCTTTGCTCTTGCTTTTGTTGTTACTCTTCAAAATACAATAAAATTATAATAAAAAATACAAATGTCAGTTGTGACTTTTGGAATAGGAAGAAAAAGTATTATACATTTCTACCTCCAAGGTGAGGAAAAATGTCTTGTTTTATAATTGGCTGGGTTAATTAAGTTCTTCACTGTGAAAAGAATGAATTGGGGGGCCAGGGAGATAGCTCAGAGGAATAAGGGCCTGCCTGGCAAGCACAAGGTCATGAGTTTGATCCTGGGTACAAAACAAAAGGAAAAAAAAAAAAGGAATTGATTAAGGAAGCTACAGCCAAATCAGCTAAAGGTAAGAGAATTATAATTGTATGTATAAAGTTTAAAAATCTAAATATGATTATTTAT